TAATGCTAATGCTAATGCTAATGCTAATGCTAATGCTAATGCTAATGCTAATGCACTCACTAATGCTAATGCTAATGCACTCACTAATGCTAATGCTTATGCACTCACTAATGCTTATGCTAATGCACTCTACTACTAAAATTAGTAGTATAACAATACTAATTATGAATGCTAATAATAATAATGAATCTAACTTAACTAAACTGATGCTAATCCTAATGCTGATAATGACAAGACTAATGCTAAGGATAATGATAATGAAAAATATAAACATTTAAGAATAATGAAGCTAATGAAGTATACTTATGATAATTCTAATGATAATTGCTAGTGCCTAATGATCAGAATAACTTTTAGACTTATGCTAATGCTCATATTATGATGCTAATGATAATGATAAAGACAATCAATTTGAAATTCATAGTGATGCCGATGAGCTGCGCCTATGATGATGCTAATGATAATACCCAGAATTGCTATAATGATACTTGCAATTACTATGCTTAAGTTAGCTTGTTAATAATGAAGCAAATGAAGGAAAATCATAATGATGATGCAAGTAGAAAAACAATGATAATGATAATCTTTCATAATAATGCAAATGCTAATGAGCTATGCTCCTGATACTGCAAATGCAAATGTCTATGATACTGCCAATAACAATGGAACTAAGCAATCTCAAGCTAATCATTTCATTACAATTGAGATGCCTAGCTTGATAATAATCATGCTAATGCTAAAGAGCTGGGCCAACAAATATAATATCGATTATGATCATATATGTATGTAAATAAATGCCAAATCTAGTCAGAGTGCTAATTGAAATTGGTAACACTGATGGCAATGCTGATGAGTAATGCTATTAGTATTCCCAATGCAAAAGAAATACTTTTTCAGTATATAGTATATACCTTATATACCTTAAAGAATCGTTGATGATGTGAATCGTTGAGAAACTTTCTAACATATTTATTTCATGATTTATCCTGAATACTCTTAGAATCTTTTCTGTTTACATAGACTTGATGTCCAGTCAAGTCTGACTAGACTAGACTTTACAGGTTAGCTAGCTGGTCGCTCAGTTCAATTCAAGTTCCGACTATGCATTTGCATCGGTAATGCTTTTAGTTAACGTTGTTTATCTGCTTGTTTGTCATGCAATTAGAATGCTGAGAGCTTTACACGTTTAACCTTAACATGAATACTTTGTCAGAGTCCGAATCGAAGTTGGAGTCGAACAGAGTTTTTTAGTTAGTCATATTCATTAGATTTGTGATGTCACTAGTTGGAAAACCAAATTCATGTGGCTTTAATTGCATTGTTCGGCTGCTGTTGTTGTTGTTGTTGTTGTTGGCCAGCTGCTTGGCCAAGCGGAAGTGCTTAACTCTCCCCCTCTGCTTCCCTCGTCGCCCCTCCCTCCCTTGCCACACTCTATCACTTTTGCTACCTGCATCTACATCTTTTTTCTCCCTCTCTGCATTCCTTTGTTTGGGTTTTCTCCCTGTTCCCTCTCTCTCTCACTCTCTCTCTCTCTCTCTCTCTGTCTCTCTCCCTCCCTCTCGCGCTTTGTCGCTTTGTTTGGCTACCTTCGATGACTCTGCAGCCGGCAGATGGCAGCAAACTTCAATTGGAAAATAACGAGAGTAGCTCGAACTATTTAGATATCTGCATTGATATATGTACAATATATTCCCATAGTAAACATTTTTGTCTTAATCCTAGTTCTCATGTGCTTAAAGCTCCTTTAATGTAGAGCCACTTTCCAAAAGCTTATCATACATTATAATTTACTCTACTTGAGCAAAGCTTTTATTTATCTATGTTCAGCTTGAATAAACTTTAATAGATCATAGAGATAATATGACTCTACTTTACATATTACTAATTTATTAATAATTTGCTTTAATGTCTAATCTTTACTTAAACTTCTAATAACATTCAGTTTCGAAGAGCTACATGTGTCGTCTATATATATCATATAAAATTAGGCAAGATAAATTGATTTCACCATATAATACTTTAATCAGCTTTAGCTCAAGTCCTAAACTCCGCATTTCATTCTAAACATTTCTCACATATTTTTCTTTTTCCTTTATCTTACTTTAATCAAAACTCTTCTAAACTTCTCTTAAATCTATGTCCTATGCAATTTTTATTTGGCATTAGTCAAATCCTTTTTTTTTTTTAATTTAAGTGCGCTTCATTCAACTCAAGTTTATTTTTACTTAATTACAAATGAAAAATCCGAGCTTAGCTTCCTTTATTCGAGGCTATAAAATATATATAACTCAGACCAGAAAATTTTAAGCTGCGTCTCGCTGAGCTACAGAAGCTCGGCTCATAAAGCACTTTGATTTATGCGTTGGTTAGAGATAAAACACACAGATGAAACTCAAGATCTCTAATTAAAAAAAAAAAAAAAAAAACAGGCTGGACTTGATAGCTGAGATTAATATATTATCGTTTTTCCAGGTACTTCATAAACTGCCCACCCCTTGCCGGCCCATCGTCCGCCCTCACTCACATGTTGGGCTCGTAAAAACCGCAGACATTAAAAAAAAAAATAAACAAAAAAAAAAAAAACAAAAGAAAAAAAAAAAAAAAAAAAAAAAAAAAAAAAACAGAAGAAAAAAATAAAACCAACACTAGTATTAGGGAGCTGCTCAGCGAGCGGGACAATTCGAACTGTGGACGCTGCAATCGAAACAATGAGTTGCCTCTGTGCGGCTTCAATTGACCATTTCCGTCGCACGGAACGGGCCGGGAGGGAGGTACTGAGGATGGAGAGTGGGTAGGCGAGAGGCGAGAGCCGAGAACCGAGAACCGAGGGATCCGACAAGTGGAAAGCGGCACTAATGAGAAACATCTTTGGCTTAAAGCCGCTGCAGATGCTAAAAAGATGAAGCTCAGTGTCAAAGCAAGAGGGAGAGATAGATAGATAGAGAGAGAGAGAGAGAGAGAGAGAGAAGCGAGAGATAGAGGCAGATACATGTAGAAGATGTGAATAAAAACCCAGATATCTTCTTGATATTTAAAACGTGAGACCAAAAGAAAGAGAAAAAATTGAAGCTGCAGCTGAAAATTGTTCTTGAAGAATGAAAACAAAAGAACTGTGGAAATTCAAACTTCTGGAACACAAAGAAAGATATGCCAATGGGTGCACTAATTGAGAGAAAGAAGCCAAGATAAGTGAGGAAATAATTAAGATTAATCAAACAGGGCGGCAAAGCGTAACTAAAAACGGCTTAAGAACTAAAGAGAAATATTACAGGATATTAAATGGGTGAAATGTTATAAGTTTCGATTTTTACATTTATAAACTTGGGACTCCAAAATTTGCAATAAAGTTATTTAAAAAAAATATATTATTCTGCTATTTCTCAGTAGTAGAAATAAGTTAATACTCATTTGATTGTTTATTTTGATTTAAACAAATTATATAAATATTTATATTTGTTTATTAAAATATATATATTTTTTTAAATTTAATTTTGCTATTGAGAAAAAAAATACATACATGTATTTTATTTGTATTTTTTTAATTTTTTTTTTAAATATTTATATTTAAATCTCTAAAATTTATCAAATTAAATTGAATGAAAAATGTAAAATAAATGATTTTCTTTTCATTTGTAGTTCATTAAAAAATATGTTTATGTTTTTTTTTTAAACCCGGTAAAATTTTGTTAGGTATCAAAACAAAAATATATTTTTTTTCAATTTCTTAAAAAAAGATTTAACAATGAATAAATTGAGAAAAAAATTTCCCAAATATAATGTATATTACATATAAATTGCAATTTTTATAATAATACAATATACAATAATAGTTTGCACCCAATTGGTACGGTTAAATGTTTACATAAGAGCAGCTTAGAGTACTGCTAATTAGAACTGTTAATCTTGAGCTTGAGCTTAACCTTTGAGAGCGCTCACACTCTCTCGCTCTCTCTGGCTCCCTCATTCACACACACACACACACACGCGCGCGCGCATATGCATTAAGATTGTTAATGGAAAGGAGAGGTAGATTTGTGACTTACGCGAAAAAAAAAACGTTGTTGTCCCTTGCGTTGGTCTCTTTTAGTGTTTGCTGCTGTTGATGTTGTTGTTGTTGTCGTTGTGGTTCAGCTGAATTTTCATTGTGTGGGGCTGTTGTGTTATTGTTGCTGCGCTGCAAAAATCAGCTGCCAGCTGTGCGAGTGTTGTTGTTTTTGTTGTTGTTGTTGTTACTATGCAGCGAATTTGCATAAACAGCGGTGCTACACACACACACTCACACACATACACTCAAAGACAAAGCAGCAGCAGAACAGGTTCTCCTGTAGGGTTTTTGTTGTTGTTGCTGTAGGGCTGCTGCACTCTGTTTTATTCTTTTATATTATTATTTTATTTTTTGTATACACGTTGTTTTTGTTGTTGTTGCTGTTGTTGTTGTGGCTGTTGCCGTTGCAGCTGTGCGTAAAACGCGCGCGTCGCGTCGTTGCGTTGCAGTTGCTGCAGCCGAACACGCGCAACTGAAACCCAAAATCCAAAATCAAAATGATGAAAATAAGACCCAAAATAAACGCGCGTTCTAACTGTATAGATTGTCCAGTTTCTTTGCTCACAGGAGTAACTGCAGTTCTATGCACAGGAAATACAACCAAAAAAAAAAATTGCAACAGGCAAAAAAAAATAAAAACAAATAATAATAATAAAATGAAGTAACAGAAACAGCGGCAAACGTAAAACAGAAGTTAAAAAAATGAAATGAAATTGTTTTGAGCTCGCTTTTTCGACTGTATTTGAGCAGAGACCAGCGTGCGCTGCTGTCGCCGTCGACTGCCGCCGCTTGCTTATCGTCGTTTCGTTTCGTACCTTTTTCGTTGCTGCTGCCTGCTGCTGCTGCTGCGGCTGCTACAAAAAAATCTCACACGCGCGCGCCACGTTCGCTGTTGCGCTCAAAACTGAACTGCTCAATGGCTATACGGCAACGCAACTCAACTCAGCTTCAAGCCACTCCCGCTCCCGTGCACGCGGTCTCTGTGTGCGCTCTCTTTGCGCGCATACTCTCGCTCTCACGTACGCTATGCGTGCGCGTCTTGGCGGCTTGGGTGTGTTTGGGTGTGTGTGTGTGTGTGTGTGTATTGTGGCTGATGTTCAATTTGTTCTCGTTCGTTCTCTCTCTATTTTGGATTTTCTTGTAAGCTTTGATTAAACTGTGCGCGCACTCAATAGCATAAATTGGAGCATGCACACTGACACACGCACACACACTGACACACTCTCGCATGTACACGCACTTTTGAGCACTATTTAAGCCAGTTGTAACGCTCTCTTGAGCTTAACTTTGTTAGAGCTGCGCTCATTTACCTCAGCTTTGTCGTCGTTGGTTACAAAGTACTGCTTCTACTTACTTCTGCTTGATTGCTTGACTTCTTTACACACACACACATACATATTTACAAACATATATGTTCATATATATGTATGTATTTCTATATTTATGTATGTATGTATAGTTTGTTTTTTGTTAATGTTTCGAATTTCACGTTGTGGTCTTGTTGTTGCGTTTGCCTTTTTTCTCGCTTTCCTGTCTTCAATTTAAAATCACATTTCGAAAGGTAAGGTTTTCTCTTCTGCTTCTTTTCTTACCATTTTTTTTTTTTTAATTTTACCTTTTTTGGTTTGTTATAAAAATGCGGTAAGAAGAAAAACTGGTAATTTAAATGGTGTTGAATTTAATTTTATTTTTTTTCGGCAGCTCTTTATTTTTTGCTTTTATTAAAAGGGTAGAAGGGAGAGGTAGAAGAGGAAAGTTGGAAGAGGCTTTAGAAGTAAGCAAATCGACTTTGCTTTGCTCTATAAATAATATAATATAAAGCTGTCAATTTGATATGAAATATATAAATTCGAGGAATAATTTAAAAATAAATATGAAGAAATTATTAAAAATGTCTAGCAGTAAATAACATAAAAATAAGAAAAAAAAATTCTAGCACTTTATGAAAAACATATTTGTAATATGTATGTAGCTTTCAAGCTTTTTTGTTACTCTAAATATAGTACATACATACATACATACATATATGCTCTACCGTTTATCAACACTGCAATGGGAGCTAACTGTGAGTGTTTGGGTGCATGATCTATGTATATCCTTTATACTAAATGCGACCCGCTGTGACCATAACGCCATCGATGTTGTTGGCTCAGCTTTCATCAGTCATCAGTTCGGTTCATCAGTCATTCAATCAATATGGCAGCTCTCCGATTACAGTTAGGTTGGAGTAGTTTGCATTTAACCACATTTACCGCTACGAGCTGCGCGTGTGCAACGCAATTTATAGGGCTTTCTGTCTGAGTCGTCGGCGTGATACCAGTTCAAGACATGCCTGGCCCAAACGTCTGCACGCCCCGCCCCACCTACCGAAATATCCCTCGGCCCTTTTGCCCCACATGTGGTCGTATCATGCAGTGAGCGCGTGTAATACGTATTTGAATACCCTGTAAATGTTCATAAAATCTAAAGGGTGTTAGTGGAAATGATTATGATTATAATACATGTAATGACAATGCTAATGCTAATGAGAATGAGAATGAGAATGATAATGATAATGATAATGACAATAACAATGAGAATGATAATGACAATGACAATGACAATGACAATGACAATGACAATGACAATGACA